AAATTGAGTTCAGTTTAATTTCTGTCCCCATTTTAAGAAGGACATTTGGACAGGCTTTAATAGACCACAGTTAATTATTAAACTTTAAAAGAAAATCTCTGGATAATTGCTTAGCACTTGGTGCCGATAATGCACCAGTATTGTAGGCTTGAAGACTGGTGTTGCAATCATCTTAAGAAAGGAAAATTCATATTTGCAGATTATGAGGTGCACCTGTCACTTCTTAAATTTAGCAGCTGAAAAAGGGGCAGCTTCTTACCAATAAATGTGGATGAACACATTGTTGATATTTATTATTATCTTGAAAGGAGTTCTAAAAAAGGAGGAAAAATTGAAACAGTTCCAACAGCTGCATAACAGCAGTTTACAATTAGAAAACTTGAATGAAGTTATAAATCAGCTAGGATTGACACCCAGTGGAGTTTAATTGGAAAACTGAAAGGTGCTGATGGAATTTTAAAATATAGTCAAACTGTCTAGAATTGTTTGGCCATCTTGACAGTTTCCCTCCCTGTAGTAGTGCAGAGTGTGTGAGAGGATTTTCAGTGTTGTTGCATAAACGAGGACTAAATTTAGATCTAATATAGTGATGACACATTAGAAAACTTTTTTAGCGAAAGCAGGCCTACATGGCAATGGCAGTGAACAAAATTCTAAAACGTTTTTTTTTTTTTTTCTTCTTTTTCCCTTTTTTTTTTTTTTTTTTTCTTTCCCCCCCCCCTTAAACGATGCAAGTAATAAAATGTTTTTTTTTATGCGTAAGGTATTTTTTGTGTTGCTTGCATTTAAGATTAGTTACTATTTAAAGTTATTATTATTAAAAAACATTTTTTTTATCATTTAAAAAGTCTTTTTAACATTGTGAAAAATCTCCTGATTTCTTAAAAAAATCTCCTGATTTTTGAGTGTCATAGGTTGGCAAGTATGCATGACAGTTTGAAATTATTTGAAAAGAGTAGGCTACAAAAAAAAGTTCAATGATCGCATGACACATGAATTAACTCGACGAAATTTGATTTACCAAATTACCATCGGTGAAATGCTGCTGAAATGTAATGAAAATAAATCATTTTTGAAGTGAATCATTACAGAGAATGAAAAATGGATGAAATACAAGAATATCAAATGCAAGTGATCACTCAAAGGCTGGTAGCCCTCCACAAATGACTTCAAAGCCTGGATTGTTGCCAAAGAATGCTATGTTGAGTGTTGGTGAGATTGGAAGGAAGCATTATGAGCTGCTACAACCTGGCGAAACCATCAGTTTGGCCCTGTACTGTGTACAACTTGACCTTTTAGAACAAAGCAATCCAGAAAGAGCGACCAGAAAGGGAGTTGTATTCCATCATGACAATGCGAGGCCATATGCATCTTTGATGATTCGGAACAAATCAACGGAACTTGATTGGGAAGTTTTGATGCATCCACCATATAGCACAGACCTTGCACTGTCTGACTACCATTTGCTGAGCGATGTGCCGCTGAAAATCACTTGCCAAGTTTTTTTATGATAAACCACAGAAGTTCTATACCTATGAAATTATGAAGCTACCTGAAAAGTGGCAAAAGGTAATAGATAACAATGATCAGTATGTACTTGATTAAAACTGATTTTCAACAGAGGAAATTTTTGTTCAAAAATGTACCAAAGAATTGCAGAAACATTTTATATGGCTCAATTACAATAACAAACAATGGTTTTGTTTAGTTACAGTATGTTATACTGTGTTGATGATATAAATTCAATTTTGTAATAGTTAATAAAATTTTTTGTTATTTTCTTTTTGAAAAAATATGTTAATTTTATTTCTCTTTTAAATTAAAACTTAGTTTTAAGATCCATCCAGATTCACTGGTATGAAAGTAGACTGAAAGTATTTAAAAGGATTGCTAATATAGGAATATTTTATATGAATAAAATGTAAATATAATAAATAATATGAAAAAAGTAAAAAATTGATTTTCTGTTGTTAATACACCATATTCAAAATAATGGCATTTGCAATATATAAAATCATGTATGGTATTAAGAAAATTGTCATTCCTGAAATTCACATGAGCTATGTTATGTAATTGAAATTATAATTTAGAACAGTTCTCTTAGAAAATAAATTATTGCATTAAAAAAAAAAGGAAAGGAAAAACCTTTTGTTCTATTGTTTCTATGATGGCAGATTTATTTTTTTTTACAAAATTTTGCTTCTATTTCTAAATAATTGTTATTTGGCTCTTAATCTAAGTGATATAAAAAGAAATTGCACAATCTACCTAAATTTACAGATATTAAAGCAAATCTCACAGCAAGTACACTAATATATACAAAGTGTGTAAATAATGTAGTGAGACTGATTTTTGTATAATATTTTATTCATTCAAAATTACAATCTCACATTGCTTCCTTAAACATAATTACCATGGGAAGCCATACAGTGTTTGAGACGATTTTTCCACTCTTCATAGAGGTGTTGGAATGCGTATCCTGCAATTGCCATCAGCTGGTCAGTTTCAGTGTTTTCTAGTGCTCTAAAATGAGGTCCTTTAAGGTGGGTTTTGAGTCTCAGGAATAGAAAATAATGGCATCGACTTGTTGGGGGGAATAAGGGAGCTTTGAGGAGCCACAGGGATATTTTTGTCTGCTAAAAGCTCATTGATTGAAAATGTAGTTTGATAAAGCGCATTGTCTTGATGCAGCACCCAGCTGGTCTTGATCTCACATGCATGACCCTTTTTTGAAGTCTAAGAACTTGGTAAAAGTGTTGGATTGTTTGGTTTGGAGGCACAAAATCTTTTTAGATTATTCCCTGACCATTTAAAAAGCAAACCAGCATGCTTTTGATCTTCAACTTACTTATTCTTGCTTTTTTGCTCTTGATGACTTTGAAGTATGACATTCCTGGCTCTGGTGTTTTGTTTCTAGGTCAAAGACACCCAATATTCATCACCAGCAATGACATTTTTTTTTTAGATAATGAAGATCTCCAAAAAATGAAAGCACTTCATGTTGTTCTTTGTTTCTTGTGAAAGTTTGTTTTGGAACAATTTTCTCTTAAAAAATTTCCTCATCATCAGCACATATGTCAAAATCTTATGAATGGTGGTGTGATTCAAATTATTCTGACTGTCAAGTGATGATCAGAATGCTCAGCATTAGGAATTCTGGCTATATTTTCATCAGCTTACATCATATGTATCAGTTGCAGGTCTTCCCCAGCAAGGTTCATCTTCAATCAATTCCCTTCCTCCTGAAATTTCCTTAAACCACCTGAAAACTTGAACCATCAACAAAGCATTTTTCATCATAGGCTTATGCAAGTTTTGTAAAAGTGTCTGTGACACTTTGCTCAAGTCTGAATGAAAATCTGATAGCAGAACATTGATTAAAATTGATGTCGCTCATTTTCAGAGTATTCTAGGAAAAAACAGTTTATGAAAAAATTTCTACAATTGCATGACTCTATACAGTTCAGAATCATATTGATTGTGCATCGAGTGTTCCCTCACTCTTTCTTCCAGACAGAAAGTACACAGTGTTGCCATATCACCATTTTTGCACATTATTTTATTAATACACTTATGTGTATTAATAAAATAATGTGCGACGAATTATGTATGTATGAATTTATTGACAAAAATGGCTGTTACAGGGGTTCTAAACCAGGGGGGATTCCCCATGGTGGGAATTTCATAGTTTCAGGGGGAAATGCATTTTGCCTTTTTTTATACCTATTCAGTACTAAATTTTAGTTTATGAATATAAAAAACTAATTTATTCAAGTTTGATATTTGTCAACATTTTCTGTACTTTTTCTTGTTTAATTTATAAAAGCTTTGGAAAAGAGGGAGGTAGAATGAACGTCTAGCAATCATGCAAGGCGTGCATGGCGAACCACTGGCTTGTTTGTTGCAAGAATACAATTGAAGCTAAATTAATTGTATAGAAAATGAGAATATTTAAATTACATAATTCATGGTTGTTGTCTATTTAGTGAAAAATCTCATTTTTTCGGCTAGTTTTTTCTACGTCAGAAGAAACTTGCCAACCCTGGTGTGCGTGTTTCTTTCTGTATATATAGATAGATAGATAGATACACACACACACACACATCACTGTAGTGTTCTTTAGTGTACAAGGCAGGAGTTCAAAAGCATATGTGAATAGATAGATACATAAAGATATATAAAGATTTAACAAACATTCTCTATTCGTAAAAAGCAAATTTAAAGTTGATTAAATTTTAAATGAAATTGAATTACAAATAAATAATTATTGTTGCAAACTAATCTACAATATCATTTAAATTCTGAGAGCATATGTAAATCAAGTGCAAGTATCAAAATCTATGAGTAAATATATAATCCCAATAAATTTTTTAATCTTAAAAATTTATATAAATGCGTAAGTGAACAATTGTTGAACAGGCAGGAGACAGACTTATCAAGGCGATAGGGGAAGTTGCCTCCAAATTTAACTTTTTTAAGTTTTTGAAACATTTTTAAAGATTTAAGTTTATATTTTCAAGCTTAAAGAAAGTATTTAATAATGTGAGTGCCTCTCACATTATTATCAGTTTAGCTTGGAAAATTATGTAGTTAATTTAAACCAATTTTCTTTCATTGTTTTGAAAATACAATGAAAGAAAATTAATTTTTGTTTTAGGATAGCTGAAAATGTTAATTTTGTATTTAATTGAGTTGAATAGTTCAAATAGTTAATTTGTTTTCACTGATGATGTTTCATATTTTTATGTCCACTTTTATATTCATTAACAAGTACAATATTTTTTAAATGCTACATCAAGATTAAGCCATTTTAAAAGCAGGAAAGAAGATGCAAATTTTAATGTTTTTTTTTTTTTTTTTAAATTTATTTAATGTGCGATTATAAGTGCATATTTGAAAGATCCATTTAATTTTGTCTCTTATGCTTTATCATACATCAGTGTGTTATGAAATTAGTTTATTGTTTCTTAACATTACTGCTTTTTTACTTTTTTTTTCAGATGAAATGATATACCTAGCTAAGGAATGTGGTGTGCCAGTACCTGCTGGATTTTGATGTGTAGAAGATTAATGTAATAGTTTGTGTAGTTTTATGTACAATAACATCTATAAAAATATGTATTTCGTTCAACAAAAATAAATTTGTATCTAGGATTAATTTGTAAGCTATTTCTTTAACTAATTTTAATGCTGTCTCATCTGATTCTTTGATCATTATTGTGTGTTAAATCTGGTTTTATGCCTGGTGTAGTGAAACAGGTCTTTTAAAACATCTAACTATAACTCTTTCTTTTCCATTAATGTTCACATGTACTGCAATGAATACAAATTGCATTTTTCAAAAATATATTTATGTATGCTTGATGTAAAATCAGGATAAATTATAATTTGATCTTCTGATAGACTTAGCACATAAAAAGTAGCAATCATATTATTCATTTCAGTTAGATTTATACTAACAGTTGATTGTTTTAAGTTCTTGCAGAAGTTATTACGTAAAAAGTGCCATTAAGTAATTTATATTAAGCTGCTTTATTTATATAGGGTAGGATAGAAGTTACACTCTTTTTCCTTGAGCTGGTAATATGTACCAAATCTTATATTTAATGATCAGAATTTTGGATTTCTTGCAGAAAATCGTAAAGTTTTAATAATAAAGCTTGTGCATGCTATACAACAAAAATGTTAGTGAAAAGTTCAAAATATTAATGCATTTCGTGTGACTACACTTCTTAAAAAAGGGATTTTTTATGCTCAATAATATTTTTCTTATATGTCCTGACTATATAATGGCATATTTGAATAATAAATGCATTGTATCTCATTTCTTACTGAGGCACAGAAGCGCAGTAATTAATTCTGGTTAGTACTGCTTCGACTATGGGCTTTAGTGACAGCAAGTGGCACAGCCAGTTACATTAACGTCTACTGCTCGGCAGTAGACCTCCTGGGCATCCAAAGTCTTTCACAGGCAGGGAGGTGTCGATGGTTTGATTACCACACTGATTCCAAAGCGTATGCGACAGATTTTTTTTTTTTTTTTTTTCACCTTGTCCTCTGTTAAGTTCTTCGGTGAAGAGCAGTCGTTTCCTCTGGCAAACAAATGTAGACTGCCGTTCCTTCGCAATGTTACGTCTCCACCACTGTTGGCTTCATCTTTTGTATGTAATTATCAGTAAAAATATTTAAGGCATTGTAACTTATACTGAGATCAAAGTATTTATATGCAGTAAAAGTTTTAAAAGTTGAATATTCTGTTAGTATATTAGCATTAATATGTGCAAAGATATATTAGAATCTTCCATAATCCAGTAACTGCTTTATATGCCTTTTCAAAGTAAACAAAATTATGATTTTCAAAAAATTTAGCATGTCTGTTTTAAACAGGAATTTTTTCATGTATGTACATGAAAATAAACTTTTTAATAAAAGTAATATATTTTAATTGAAATGAATTTTTTACTTCCATGTCAACACTGTATTTGTGATAGGCACAAACTGAATATCAGCAACTTTTTTCTTTTGATAAAGCTCTACTTTTGGTTGCATATTTTTCTGCTTTTCAATATTAATTTTGCATTTATATAGTTATTTAATTTTAAAATTCTGTGGTGTATGTTAAGAATTTATCAGTTCTCTGTTAAACAGATGTTGCATTCAGACTTAAATGCATTTCAAAGCTGGCACCCTGAAACAAACGTACATGTTGTTCCAGAATGATGTCCCGATAGATTTGGCTTGTCATGGTTCCAATTTGAGCATGCAGGTCAGTTCTGGAACCCAGAATAATAATTCCACCCCAAACGAGCACTCCTGCACCACCGTAACGGTGTCGTTCAATGATGTTTTCTTGGTGGTAACGGGTACCTGGAGCTCTCCATATGAAAGTCCTGGCGAGAAATCAGACTGCAAGCAAGCTAAACCTGGACTCGTCGGAAAACATCACACAAGCCCACTGTTGCGGTGTCCACAATGCATGCTCTCTACTCCAGGCTAACCGCAGGCGACAGTGAGTTGCAGTAAGTGGAACGCATCTGACAGGTCTACGACATATAGACCAATCTGCCCTAAGCGTCTGTACACGGTCTGCCTTGAAATTGTCGTACCAGTGGCTGAAGAGAGCTGGCGAGCAGGTCTGAGGCTGTGCTCCGCCTGTTTTCTTTTGGCAGTAACTGCCAAATACCGGTCCTCATTCGGCGTTGTAACTCTGGGGCGACCTGTGCTGTAGCGTCTACTCACATTACCATCATCTTGGAATCGTTGCCAAAGCCTATAGATGACACTCTGGGCGATTCCAAGTTCATCTGATACTTCCAGTTGGGTACACCCACATTCCAGACGGCCGCTAATTCTACTACGTAAAAAATCATCCAAATGCGTCCTTTGTGTCATAACTATTTGGTTATTGCACTGAAATGCTTATAAAGCGCCTGCGAACAATTTTACTTCTTTGCCTGTATTCCTTATATATCACTCTCTTACACTCTCATCATTGTGACGTACCATCAGTGTCATCTGGTTACTTCCTAAAATTTGCATATGATTCTTGAAGATGTAGTGATTTTACAGGTGATATATTTATTTTAGAGTTCGATTTCCGCGTGATTCCGAGTCATCCTTAATTTATGGACATGAGTGTAATATCTATCATTTCTCCCTACCATTTCATGATGAAGATGTGATATTGCCAAATCATGGATAAATATTTTATAGCTGATATTCTGGAACAGTAGTACTAATATTTCATTTTCTTCTATGTTGAGTGCATATCTGCATACACATACATGTGGGCAGAAGGGAGGGAAAAAATATTCATTATTTCATGTAAATTTTGCTAAATTAACTCTTAAGAATAGTAAAGTCTGTTGCTGATGTGTGTTTTAATTTTCCTTTTACTGAAAGGAACTGTTTTTCAAGGAAATTCATAATTCATTTATTATTTGATTCTTATTTATTGTTATATTTTCTCCATTTCTACTAATAAACGATAGAGACGCTATAGTTTTTTACTAATAGTAAATTATGAAATATTTATTCTAAGGCAATTTTCATCTCAAAACATAATTTATAAAAACCATGAAATCCTGACTTTTTGTCAGTGCTTCAGAGTGAAGAAGACATTAAAAGAAATTCCAAACTCAGGCTTCCAGGTGCCCATATTCGGATAGAGGACTATGTTATTCAAAAATTAATGACTAGGTACTGTTGTTTTTTCACAGTGCAAGAAAAATACGTACATTTTCTTGCAGATTTTTCATTAGTTTCTTTAAATATAATACAGAGCAATAATTTAAAAATTGATTCGGCACAAAATGCCGTTTGGAGACTAATAATTAAATTAAAATTCAATAAAATATAAAGGCATAAATAAAAATTTAATAAATCATTAATTTTATAATGAATTGTTAAGTAAAAGAAATAAAATATCGGGCCTCATGTTTGGAGCTCTGGCTGCACTTAAATTTCATTCTGAAAACTAAGCAATAGCTTAGCCTGCCTCCGGCTTAATTCAAGCCATGAATATACGGTATAACGTACTATTTCAAGGGATGAGAGAGGCCATTCTTTTTCCAGAACATCAGAAACAATATGAGAGTATGGAAATAAATTTTAATGGAAAAGTGTAGCTTTGAAAACAAGGAAGAACCCTAAGCTTTCTGACTACGATGCCCTGCCCATATAATTCTATCAGTCAAGCAGAGGGCAACTGGGCAAAAAAATTTCCCTTGAATGGGATCCAGTAACAACATGAGAACAAACGTACGGTCTGCACAAGTGACAATTTTTGCCCCCCATATTTGGTTACATGGTTTAAGTCTACGGGTGCTCTGCACTGAGAGATCACTAGTACATCGCTGGACGTGCCCGACCAAGGTAATAACTTTTGGTACTTTTAGGAACAAAACATTTTACTTGTTGTCATAAATTCATAGCACAACCTGGAGAATTTGACATATGGATGGGGAGATTTTCTTTCCTTAAAAGTCTTAACAACTCCGCCCACTTTTCCCCCAGAGACAAGTATGCATTCCGTAGTTATAATCGATTTTAGCAGATATTTGTTTTTTAAAATAAAATTTGCACGCTGAAACTGTGTCTCATTTACATAAAACAAGTAAAGCGCTTTCATTTAGCATTCCGGCTAGAATCACAGTTTAACTCAGAAGCTGAGAAGTACTAACACCTTCTTAAACAGACTGTATTTAAGAAGGTGTTGGAAGTACCCGAGCCGGGATCCGTCGTAATTTAAGCTCTGGATCTGATTGTAAATGGGCTAGAAAGCGGTTGTCAACCCTTAGAACTTCACGGACAACTACATATATAATTTTTATATTTGGCAGACCACTAATATGAATTATTATTAAAAAAAAACCTTAAATCAGACCTTAAAAATATATTAATGCGCAAAAACAATATTCAACTTTTCAATATATGTAATTCTAATTTTCGTCTGTTAATGTCATTTTCAAAACATTTGGTGTTCAGCCTTTATGCCCTTTATGAAAATTCAGGCTACGCGCCTGGTTATGAGTAACACAGTTAAAACACCATTAACATCTCACTGATACACATATTTCGTTCACATTGAAAAGTACAAAAGTTTTACCTTCTTATACTAAGGTGAGCAGATTTTCCGGAGGGTAAAGCGGAATGCAGGGATCCAAATTTGGGTGATGGGAGAGGGCGGAAGCCCCCGCCCCCGAAGGTGAAAATACGGAGTGCAAAATTTCTAGTGAAGTCACATTGTCCTGTAAAAAATTACCCATCATTTGTGAATTACCTGTGTGTTAAACAGTACCATTGACAGAAAAAATTAGAATTTATCCCATATTCTCGGACTGAATCAACAATCACGGACTTTGGAGACAACTCAGATGCGCTTTCAGTAAGAGTAAGAGCGAACAAAGAATTTAAAAAATAGGCAGTCAGAAAATAAAAGTTTGTAACTTTCTACCTACCTTATTGCTTGAATGTGTCCATCCAGCACATGACGCCGCTAAGGTATTAATTCGACGTGGACGATGGGCCTTCTTGATTCAAGCCGCTGACCTAGAAGGATCATCATGTGTAGTGCTTCGTAGACTTATTTCACTGACGAATGAATGCTTCTAAGAAGTTTTGGCTCTTGTAGAAGTCTTTCTTAGACTTAATAATAGG